ATTAATGAATGATCTTCGTTAAAACTGATTGATCAATGGGTGTTGATCAATGGCAGGTACGTCAGGTACTTCTTAGTGCAGATCAAATCATATCGACCAGGTTGCAATGTGGCCACATAGGATAGGATTCGATCTGCACTAAGAACGACCTGATATACATGACATAGGTCACCACCAAGTGATCAATCAATTGTAAATATCTCTCAGTCCTACAGGAGGTTAATCGCGGCTCGGATAGCTCAGTGTCAACGTTTCTGACTGTAAAAATGGGTGACACAGGATCAGGGAGCATCATTTTCCTGAAAATTATAAGTATACCTTGCTGACGAGTGCCAAGTAGCACGAAACTTAGGTCCAGGGTTTCCTGTTGACTACCTCAACATAATGATCTTCATTACGCGTATCTTTTAGTTACTTATAATTTAAATGACTTTGAATAATGTTTATTTTTCTGTTTATTACTTTGTGTACAAGTGTATCACTTTACTGATAATGAAAAAAGAAACGTCTCTCTGATCGTTCGTCTTGTTGTCGGTTATTTGTTCGTTAAAAATGCACCATATCAATAGTTTTACGTGTGTAATTATCAACTTTTCACATAGTTAAATCAATTCGGACCATAATTAGTACATCCAAATGTATATAGAATAGAGAAGAGTTGTAACTCAGGATAATGCTTTGAATAGTATCACATTTACTAAACTGAACTATTCGATCACGAAGAGCTAATTGTCTTTTTGAATGATATTCATAGCAACTACGTCAAATGGAAGTGAATTTTTTATTATTCTATGATCTTTGTATTATGTAGTTATGATAACCTTACTTATGGCTGGTTGTCTTTGTAGGTTATATTATCTTAATTCATGCAAGCTTTTTTGACCTTACACCATGAAAATCGGTTGGCCTTATCCGTATAGAGTGATAATTCAAATCTATATCAGTGTGCTTATTGATTATGCAGTAACCTGAATATTAAGCTAATAGAAATCTACTGGAATGCTTGAAACTTCCTCTATCCATAATTTAACATTTTAAAATTTATTTACTTAGTCGTCAGTGTGTTTTGAAACAAATGAAAACATTTCGTATCTTTTCACTGATAGTTTTTTATTTATACACAAGTTAGTAAAGAAGACGTCCAAAGTTTTAAACATACTGCTGATACACATTTTTTTATAAGTAATGTTGCATTTACTTTCAATTGCTATTGTGTATTTTAGTTTACATAGATTGGGATGAAGTGAGTGTGTTGACTTACAGACAGTATTGTTCTAGAATGATTTTATCAGTCTTGTGGTAATTTCCGTATATAGCAGACCAACCTGGTTTCTGGTTTCCAAGAGTCCTGAAGTGTTTATTTCTTAGATGAAGTTTTGCTTACTGCCAGTTATATGGAAAACGAATGTGAAGTGAGTTTTATCTTAAATTTGCAAATTCAGAGTTATACAGTATGTTTTAGCTCTTATAAACATTATTTGTATGCATTACTATTAGTGTGCTGGATTTGAGCGACCATTACTAAATGCTCATATAATTAATAGATTTGTTACGTCCATATCTTTTAATTTTTCGTGTTAGTATGTTAATAAAATGTTTACTTAATATACTAAACCGAAGTTATTACTTGAGAACAACTAAATTTAATAGGTTTTCTTGACTACTATAGAATTTTTAGAATGAATATAAAAAGAGTGCTGTGTGATGTTCCACCTTAGCTCCTTATTGAACGTTTTAATTTATTGAACAATCCTTTGACATTCGCTGTTAGTCGAATATTTGATTATATTCTTCTTGAACAACAGTTGGTTTTTTTTCGAAGTGACAATACACAAGATAAAAAATAAGAAATCATAGTTTATGTTGTTCATTTCATAGATTTAATGAACTTCATTATCATACGAATTTAAAAATAATGGCACTGATCGTATACGATCGGTACGATATTGATCTTTCATTGTTGAAGTTTGAATAAATGTAACTTTTGTCTAAGTCTAAAAAAACAAACAATATTCCTAGTTTAGATTTCATTAATTACTGTCATAAAAAAATTGTCAGTCAGTCTTGAGTGCTGTTAGAGGTATGAGGGAGGTTATCACTTCCCGGTCGCCCACACCGTGGAAGGGCTCTTCTGGAGGTGCCTGAAACGGAACTTGGATTAAAGGTGGTCTTAGTGACCTAAGAGCATGACCGCAGTGCCCAAAGGAAAACTGCTTGAGGTCGGTCACACACGACCTTTTTATGAGTAATTTTTGTGTCAGTTCCGTACTTGTTGAGACGTTACCGCTGGAGAGGGATATCCGTGGGATAAGGTGAGGTGTGCATTTTTAGTTTCGACCTTTTCTAACCCCACCCCTCCTTGTGGGAAGGCAGCATCGCTGTCATGCTGGTTGTCTGAAGGAAACACCTTACTGCTGTCACACCTCTATACAGTCAGCAGTACGACTTTGCCTTCGGACCTTGGGTTTGTTGCTTTTAGTCTTACCGCTCTTCAACCGACCTGTCTGACATGAAAGGACCTTGAGGAGCGATTGTTCTAGCCAGTATGGCTCGGTTGCTTCATCACGATAGATAAGCCCGACCACCACGTCAAGGTAGCAACAACGGTCGGATAGTAACAACGGTAGTAGTAGACGACCTAAGTTACTGGGTTAACTCTTTAATACTAATTATGATTGTACACTGATATACAATAGCTTACATGCTAATGTCATAGTATATAAATTAAAGATAAGATATTCATTGAAAATTCTAAAATGTTACCGTCATTAAAATACAAACGGATGTAGTTCATTGTAGAAATATCTTAAAATTATTTGGCTGACTAAAATGTATAAATATATAGAACTAAGCATAGTATCATAATTGTCAAATCACTATTAAAAAAAAATAATAAAATAAAATAACTGCATATTTTCGAAAATGATTAATGAGTTTTCTTCCAAAACTAAAAAACAATTTTTTTCTTTCGTTTTTTTTGGGGGGGAGGGGGAGGGGTAATTTTTAAAATTTACACTTGACAGTATATTGTTTATATTTCTAGTGTTCAATGCTTTTTTTTAAAAAAGTAAATGAATGGTACTAATTTATTTATTTATTTATTTATTTAAGTGACTTCTAAAATATTATGGCGGATACTTTAAAGCTAGTGATTAAATAAGTGGAGACAGAATGTGTTTTTTTTCTTTCTTTCCTTTATATACTTTAACATTTGATCACATTACCAAGGGAGAGAGAGAGAGAAAGAGAGAGGGGAAAATACGCTTGATTCTTATGAAAGAAACTTTCATTAATTCATTAATCATAAAATTCCTTTTGTTGTTTTATTTTTATCTTTTAAATAAAAGAAAAAAGAAAAATCTTCTATGATGATGGATGAACTTGATTATAATTTAGGACACCTATTAGTCTTATTACATTTATATCATTTGACAGTAATTAATTAGTAATTAATTAGACTCATTAGTTTTACATATAAAGCGGAATTACAAATGAATAAATATTATAGATTAGAGCCTTGATTGGTGAATTAACGTAACCAGTACTTATGTATATATATATATATATGTAACTAAGGAAATGGAAATTAGTCTAACTATATATATGTATATATATATTTGTCTAACTTGTCTACCGTGGTTGGGAACTGTTAAATGAAGCGTAATTATTTATTTACTTATTCCAATAAATTTATCTAATATGTTGTTATTATTTTATTGAAATATGAGACAGATAAAAGTTCTTAAACGTTGTATCTCATATTCAGTTTACAATTTGATTTGCATGTATGTAAGGGGTAAAATGTTCGATAGATCTTTATGAGCATATATTGAATTATTTGATTGAGATCATGAACCGATTGATATGCTCACTAGTGATTAACTTCGTGAGGGAATTCTCGGAATTCTAGTGAGAAGCCGTGACTAGTGGAGCTAATCCGTGTCGGGTAGAGACAGGTATGTAACCTCAGTACAATAGAAGATGGTTGCGCGATTTCGTGGATTGGTTGATGTTAGACATTAACATCATTGGATGCCGGCTCAATGGTGCGGTAAGTTAAGTGTTCGCTCGCGAGACTGAAGGCCCTGGGTTCGAATCCCATGAGCGGGATCGTGAATGCGCACAGCTGAGGAGTCCTACAATAGGATGAAGCGGCCGTCCAGTGCTTCCAGGATTTCAATGGTGGTCTGACATCAATCGGTTCATGATCTCAATCGAAAACTTAATAATCTCCATAACCCCTATACTGATATATTGAATTACATGATCTATGGTAAATATTATAGTTTGAAAATACTTTTAATCAAAGATAGTTATTTTCTGAAAAAAGTAACTGGGAATCAAAAACTAATAGATATTTATTTTGTATTGTTACGATAAAGGATTTTTGGAATTTCTGGAATTTTACAGTTTACATTAAAAACTGATATTAGTTAGACAACTATTGAAAACTAGGAGGTATTTGATAGCAGTTTAGTCCTAGTCCAAAACTTTGTCAGAGTTCATCCACGACCTTACTGCAGTACGAACACAAGAGTTTCGAGTCTCGCGGCAAGTGTTTAACTATCAGACATTGAAAGCGGCATCCATTGGTTTTGAACTTGAGACTCCTCAATATTTAACGTTTGTGATTCATTGTTTGATGTAACGAGGCAATCACTAGAAGTTATCATTGGTGATTATCTTACTCTTGATGTGATTGAAACTCATTTTTCACTAGAAATGCCAAAGTTATTCACTTGAAAACAATTGATTATTATTTTATTTAATGGCTCGTATTGATCAAGACAAATTAGTTGGATACATCATATTCGTTAAAAGTTCAGTGGAGCTCTTTTTAGCAGTGCTAACAATGAAAATAATGAGAGTCTTCTCTATAGTTACACTTTTCAGTTGAGTAATAATACTGAATTTCAATCAACTAACTTTTGCTTATCTAACGAAGGATTATTAGTCAATTCATATATATAAAATTTATGTAATCATATGGATGAACTTACTTTGTTTCTTTTCGTACATAAACAGTATTATTACCAATTGATGGAAAGATAAATTGTGGTGTATTATCATTCACATCTAATATATGTATTAAAACAATTGTTGTAGATGATAATTTTGGTGTACCCTGATCTTCAACACGTACTGTCAATTCATATAATGGATATAATTCACGATCTAATTTTGATCTACCTAAATAGATTTGTCCATCTTTGGCAATAAAAAATCTATATAAAAACAATGAATACAAATAAAGTCATACTATAAGCTATACAAATAAAAATTATTCAAACATTGAGTAATCAGTATTTTGACTAAAATGACTATGATATGTCTCGTAATTTGAATGCTACTTTCTATATCTGGTCATCGCTGATTGTTGTGTCATTGATGCTTATCACTTATACTGGAATGATAGACCTTTGCAATTCCCACGACGCTGAAGTAAGAAGAGAAAGACTGGTATAAGTGAAAATTTATTAACCCCCAAAACACGACGAAGACAACCCAAGTTGAAAATATCCTCGTCTATATATTGATTCGTATACCCATTTGGATTAATAATTAGGATGAAATCACATATATGAAAAATACCCAGAGTTATAACAAAGCATATGCTGAGTATAGTTCATGTCCATTGAATACAAGAATATTGTATGTTCTACAGAATGAAATATCATACGAGAAAACGAAATCGAATACTACACTGAATAATCACCATATTGGATCAAAATGGAAGTAATGATAAATAATAATCATAATAAGTGAATCAATCTAATTTTAACTTTTCTTCCCATCATATCAGATTACGTTTAAAAAGACACTTCTTACAACAGAATGATTATTGTAAGCAATGATGGATAGTGGCTAGCATTGGAATCCAAAACGCACGTTTCGTCCTATTTGGGACTTATCAGCTGGATGTACCTGCATCTCAGAGTTGATGTTCACTATTGGACTCGAACCCAGTTGCAGTCTTAAACCTCAATGGGAAGATACGAGCCAAAAACAATACCAAGAGAATGATTATTGTTTCAGAAATTATTGAATGCTTGATACACTAGAACATCATTTCATGTTATGATAATTTTGAATATTTCAATACTTTCTTATATTTCAAAATACAAGTATGAAATCTGTAAAAGTTTATAAAATACACCCTAATAGATTAGTGTAATTATCATGTTTAATATTATCCATCTACATGTTTTGAATTGTAGTCATCAAGATACTTTCAATTGTTTAATTAATTGTTCTGTTTAAATATGTATTTAACCATCTTCTAATGAACACAATGTATGACCAAACAAAGAATTATTTTAATACCTTTTTACTATATATACAGACGATTTTCATGATCCCGACCACAAATCAAAGTCATAAATGATCAGTGAATGGAAATTTCAATGACACATGTTTACAGAATTGTAATCAACAACTATATTCAGAAGTAAATTCACATTGAATACTTTTGATGGAATGTTGTTCTCTAAGCTGGATAGTTTAATCGTGAAGCTTTCATCATTCTTCTAAATGATCAAACCATCCAGCGTAGAGAACAAAACTTCATCAAAATCATCCATCTAAGCTACAAATCTTCTCTATCATCTCATTATTTGAATAATTCATATCATGCTAAAAAAATTGAAGTGAGCATGATAATGAGATTACTACAACACATGAAACTATCAATGATATTCATTGTGACACTGATACATTTCTTCATCAAGATTCAACAGTAACTACGAAGTGAAATTACAAACTACCAATCAATACTTCACACTAAATGATGAATCAATGCGATACTTTTTGTTTGTTTGTTTACAATTCTTTGTACATATTAATTCAAACTTATTAATTCCAACTTTTTGTTTAAAAACAAACAAACAAACAAACTTTACGTGTTAATTATTATCTAAAATAAATATCATTGTTTTGCTTTTTTTCTCTCCCTCTTTTCTCTCTTTTCTTTTTCTTTTTTTGATTCGATAAATTATTCGAAAATAATAAAAAGAAAAAGAAAAGGTTAATAAATCTATTCTGTATCCAACTGTCTATCTTCTACATTTCAATAAAGCGTTTATCATTTATCTATAAAATTAAATAATTCAATGAAATAATTGAATTATTTAATTGAACAAGAGTCATTCATTGATTCGGAATAAGTTAGGTAAATAATAATAAAGTTTAGGAGATAATTTGAATAAGTTTTGGTTATTGTATTGTATTAACTACTAAATGAATAATGTTTAGATTATATACATGATACTTAGAATATATAGTGAAATATTTAATGGGATAATAACAAAGATATGATATTAGTTCATGTATTTACTGACTGTTGTATTAAGTTATTCAAGTTAAGGTTAACTGGATAAACATAACTTATAGTTCAAAATCAATTAAAGTGACTTAGATATGTTTATTATTTATTCAATACTACTTTCCAGATTGGCCGGATACCATCAGCAACAGTCTACTGTGAGAGAGAACAAACTAGCTTCCAGCTGAAGAGGATATTGGGAAAAGACGATGGAAATGGATAGGATATACATTACGGAAATCATTAAACTGAATCACAAGACAAATGTTAACTTGGAATCGTGAAGGGCAGCGGAATAGTGGAAGGCCAAAGAACACACCTAAGAAACTCAAAACAACTGTCCCCAAGCCAACATCGAATTCAGAATCTTCAGTACGAACGTCAAGACAATCCTACTGTATAGAACCGAAACGTGGAGAACTACCACAACCATCATCGAAAATGTACAATTTATAAATAGTTTAAAACAGTAAGTCCCTTTGATAAATTTCGATAATGTAATTAGAAGACGAAGATTATTACAGAGTTCTGATAATCTTCGTCTTCTAATTACATTATCGATGTTTATAAATAATTGTCTACATAAGACACTGAATTTCCGTTGGCCTGATAACATCAATAACAACGTTCTGAGGGAGAGAACAAGCCAGCTTCCAGCTGAAGAGCAAATTAGGAAACAACGTGGGAAGTGGATAGGATATGCATTACGGGAATCACCAAAGTGCATCACGAGACAAGCCTTGAAGAGCAGCCGAAAAGAAGAAGGCCAAAGAACACACTACATCGGGAAATAGAAGCAGGTATGAAAAGGATGAACAATAACTGGAAAGAGATGGAATGGATTGCCCATGACAGGATTGAATGAAGAGTGCTGTTAGGCGGCCTATACTTTTGGACGAGGAGTAAAAGGCGAAAGTAAGTAAGTTTCTAGATTCGATTATTCTCAAACTTTATCCCTTGATTGCTCTCACTTTGGTAATATGAACTTGGAAATTATAGATTTAAGTGTATTTATTCCAGTTATGTCATTCATGACTGATTAACAAATACACAAATATGTTAATTCTGAACATAATAGTTTATATACAATAAATTTACAAAAAAATATGTTAAGTCAACATTGAATAATTGCTAATCAATAATGAAATTTAATTCACTTGATATTGTTTTATTTGAATCTTCCCATTGATGTTTTTGGACTGAAATTGATCAGTCTCTTATTGGCATATGTGCATACTGTGCGTATGCCTCGATATTGCCTTAATTTACCAGCTGACGAGTCCCAAACAGGACGAAACGCGCGTCCTGGATTCCACTGCTAGCCACTATCCATCTTTGCTTAATAATGAAATTTGTTTTTTTACACCCAAAGTCAAAATCTATAGGATTTCTTATGGTAGTTTTTAATCCCATTTTCATAGCCCTTTTGTGAAAACAAAAGAGAATTGTATTTTATTATCTATTTTATATCAATCACATAAAGTAATACACAATATTGTGCAAATACTAAAAAGTATATAAACTTATTCTTTGTTACTATGTGCATAAATAAATGGATATTCATGGGGGAAACTGAAAATATTCAAGTAAAATGTAATTTCTATTCATAAGAATAATGAACATATACTAATTGATTGAAAACACAAAAATAAACGTAATTTAAAATTCAATAAAATGTAATTGATTTTTTTAGATAAAAGTAAGTGAACGGAATTAACAGAAGGGGTTTTGTGAAAGTTTTACAAATTTCACTGATTGAAATCATGACTCAATTGGAGCTAGACCACCATGGAAAACCTGAAAGTACTGGACGGCCGTTTCGTTTAGCTTCAATTGACTCATGATTTCAATCAGTGAATGGAATTCAGTCACAATCATCTAACTATTCTTACCGGCTATTTTATGTTTAGTCTGTAAATTTGTTTGTTTGTTTTCTTATTCATACAATTAATCAAGTCATACGTTAAAAGTCGAAGTTCATGTAATCTTAATGAAAAATGTCATTTCATTATAGTACAGTGTATTCCAATTCAATACAAACCATAATATAAATATTTCAGAATAGTTTTACACTAGTACAATATAAATATATGACAATGGAGAGATTAAAAATGATGTTTAGCCAATAGTAATTATAACAATAATAACACAAAGATCTGTGAATAAAGATAACAGTGACAATAACAATTCACTACGAAAGGTCGTAAGCACAATAGTCAAATTAGTTCATTCAATAGCTAAGATTACTATTGATTGATTGGCCTTGAGGTTGGCTGGGAGAAGAGAAGCGGTTGAAGATATTCCTTTTGTACGCATAGCTCAGGTTTCTTCATCCGGAAGGACTTCAAGTCTGACAAGCATTGGCAAAAATTACTGACCAAATAAATAATTGAAAAGGATTGGTTTATACTGGCATTATGACCAGTTTGCACTAAATGGGTCAATAACGAACTGTTCATTTTCTTCACCAGACCTTTGCTTAGCCACGCAAGGAGGTGTTCGCAAGCACGAAAATGTAGATTCATAGAACTTCGACCAATATAACTTGCTCCACAGGAGTGTTCGAACTGATAGATACAAAATGAGATGGTCATTCTAGGTAATTCATCTTTTAGCATCGGTTTCTCCACTGGGTGCGTAGAAAGCAATAATCATAAATAGCCGGCGTTGAAAGATTTTTGTATTGTTCTGCTTAATCTCTCAGTTAATAATTCACTAACTGTAATCCTTCTAAATTGTAGTCACATGAACAAAAATTACTTATTCACCATCTGTATTTCACTTATTCTCATCTTCGTGATCATATCTTCAATTATAAACTTTCTAGAGTAACCATTCTCTCTAAGAGTATTACTCAAAGTGTTTAGCTCATCTTCAACTGTATCCATAGAACATATAGTGTGCATTCGATAACTAAGAGTTTTGATCTTGTTTCGTTTGTACTATAGAGGTACAAAGCTAAAGAAATGTGCATACTGCCCGGTCCAGGTATTTTTTCTTCTGAAACTGTTTTATTGATCCATTCGCTCTCTTAGTTAAGAGAACGTCCAAAAAGTCTATTCTACCATCACTCTCTTCTTCATATGTCAACTCAATAGCTGAATACACTTCATTAAACTTCTTAAGAACCTCTTACTGTGATTCCAATTCACATACTTTAAACAATTCACTTTACCCTTAAACTTGATCATTTGAATTGTAAGAGCATGGAAAGAATTTCTTGAAAACAACATTCTTCATTCAAATATTAATCTTTTAAATATCTAATCATATAATGATAAATATCCGAATGGATTTTTGTAGATATTATATTAATTTTTAATAGTTGAAATCATAAGTCAATTGAATCTAGATCACTATAGAATACCTGAAAACACTTGACAACCATTTAGATAACTCCGTCTGTGGCCCCTCCGGGGGCTACTGCCGGTCTCAAGCCCGGATAAAGGAGGAGAGTTAAGCATGGAGTTAGCGACCCCACCCCGTAAACAACTAACTCGGTAAAAAGAACGCTAGTTCTTTCAATACACAAAATAGAGTATAATAATAATAATAATTCATTCTATATATTTCAAATACATAATCCATTCTAATTATACAAACTGGTAAATCATTATAATCAAATTTATTTTTATTTTTACACTAAATAAGAATAAATGCAACAATGATTCTATGATCAAATTGATTTATACTTCCTCTTTTATAAGTAATCTCTACTTAAATCAGTGATTTAAATAAATAAATAAATAAAACACAACTTGGATACAAGGTGATATTCAATACTTGAATAGGTTAGATATTGTACAATAGATTTATTGATTATTATAATTGTTTCACCTGAATGCATTTACTAATTGGTTCATTAGATATTCATATAAAATGTTATTGTTATTATTAAATTTTAAAGGGAAAAAATTGCATTTTATATAATTATTAAGTACGATATGTTATATCATTGATGAGTTATTATGACTACTTTTTAATGTAAGTCAATTGAAACTAGACCATCATGAAAAAACTTGGAAAGACTGGATGGTCGTTTCAATTTATTGTAAGACTGCTTAACTGTGCGAATCCACGATACCACCTCACAACATTTCAATTCACGACTTATTAGTCTCGCGTGCGAATGCTTAAACCTCTAGACTACTGAACCGGCATACAATGGTTTGAATGTCTAACTTCAACGAATACACGAAATTGAGCGATACATCCACACCATTGCCTTCAGTGAGTTACTATCTCAAAACAAACCCAGTTGAACTCTTATTGTCACTGCTTCTTAATTGAACTCCAAGAAATATCTCTATAGTATTCGTTTAACAACAGGTTAATTTCAATGTTTCCGTTTTATTTGTTACTCCCACATGAAAGTCTACATGTCTATCCATATATATATACCTAGATGCATTTTATGTTTGTTTAATGAAATATTCAGAGTAAAATAAAAATAAAATTTCATTCGTCTAATTATAGGAAAGTATACGTCACTGAATCATGTTAACCACTAATTCTCATGACAATAAGCATATTTAAAAATGAAGACAGCTACAGGATTTTTGGTCTGTGTTCGAATCTGACGAGGTGGGATCATGGATGCTCACCGCTGAGGAGTCCCAAAATAGGACGAAACGGCCGTCTAGTGCTTTCAGACTTTCGATAGTGGTCTAACTTCAACTGATTCATAATCTCAACTATTAAAAAAATTACTATAATATCCACAAAAAAACCCTTCTGATAGAACTCAATAAGTTTCATTTTCCCATATCAATATTTTTAGTGTAAATCTGTATAAAATCAACTGTACTCAATACATGTGAGTCCTAAAATTAAGATAAAAATCTATTCAATAAACCTTCTTTTTTTGATAGAGGTTATATATTACTGCAATGCCAAACAAATCATATACTATAGTGGGTAAAAGGGAGGTATGCAAATATTGGTGAGTCATAATGAGTAATCGAATTCAAATGATAAAAAAGATTTATATGTCAAATGGGTTCTTTTTGATGTGTTGTACTACTTAAAATTAATGGTTTAATTGAAAAGTATGGGCTTCAGATAAATCGGCAGTCACTGAGTATATCGACATAGAATCTATCTACCAATATACATAGAGAAGGTTAACCAACCACGTGGTTAGATTTCAATCGTACAGAACGTTCATTAGAAACACAGAAGTAAATGAAAACAATAAAACATCTAAAGAAAACATTTTACAAACATGATCATTAAAACAAACTGATTCAGTGTTTGTTATATAAGTAAATTATAAGTACATCGAGTTTAAAAAAATACGATCAAGCAAACTGTTAGCCTAGCTGAGATCACTGCACACATATGTTTGTCAGGCTCAATCTAGTAACACATGAACACACTAGAGTTGTGCAAACTATTTATCCGTTTCGGCAATATACCTATAGACTCATTTTTAATATTCTCATTGTCCATAGTTGGCCGGGCAAGGCTTATGAAATGTGTATTCTGATTGGATCCAGTTGATAAACAATAACAATATCCGATGTTTCTTTAGTTCAACAAGTCCTCTAATAGAGTTATATTTAAAGTATACAAACCTTAATAGGTGCTTATTTTGAAAAGAATTTGCGTGACGATGCTTTGGTGTTAATCTTAAAACAATATTTTTGATCTTGTATAATGGTTGTCTAGGGTGAATGCCTAGGTTTATTGAAGCTTTAGTCAAATCTACAAACTTATGTAATTTTAATAGCTCAAGTTGTAAATACATTTGTTTATGTAATTGTTATAATCTGGTTAAAATGGAAAGGATTTTTCAGGCATTAAACCGATAGTAAAATTGGTTGGTATTTTCATTCTGTTATGACAACTATAAGATTATCGTTTAACACTTACGTAAGCAGCAAATATTCAAAAAACAGAAAAATTAAGACTTCCACTGAGACCTAACGTTTGATGATCTGAAGCCAGTTTTCTACTAACAAGTAATCATATCAGTAGAATAAGTATTAAACTGATGGTGTATTAACATAACTGAGTTTATGTTGGTAAGTTTATCAGAATTGGAGATAAGCTCTAGTCTCTTGAAATAATCTTATCGGATATTGTAAGTAATATGAAATATTCGCAAGTATATGAATTTGAAATTCTGGATAGTGGGTATTACTTTTGAAAATAGTTCGATATAGAAAGTGATTTCCAACTGAACAGTATCTTCAAATGCTCAGAGATGGAATCTTGATAAATTTAAGTTGATGACGAATAAATCGTTGTATTCAATCATGTAAATGATGTGATGGGATGAAGAGGTGAAATTGCATTTTTAACTCATTGTGATTCTTGTTCATTTTTAATTATCAATATGATGATTACACACAGTGTAGTGTTTGTTTCTGTTTTCCAGTGGGATATTTTATATGGTATAATATCCTTTGTGTTAAATTAACGTGAACTACGTTTAGCATGATATGCAATATGTGATTTGTTATAGTTCTGAGCATTTTTCATATGTGACTTTTTCCTAATTCATAATCAAATGCGCGTACAAACTAATATATAAATGAGTGAATTTTCAATGAGAGTTGTAATCCTGTTTTCGTGTTGAACAACTCTCCACTTGTATCAGTCTTCTGTCTTCTTACTTCGAGTTGTGGGAATGGCAGGGTTTCCTCGTAATCAAGTATAAGTAATAAGCGACGTAGTTATAGTAAAATCGTGTGACTGATTCCGAGCTGTCCATTGTAATCTGTATTTTCCGTCAGATGTCGAGGTCTTCATAATCCAGTCGACCACCAGAAGAGGAAGGAGTAGAGTAAACAGCCTTGTTTGACCTCGGTCCTTACTTGGAATGCATCTGTCAGCTGTCCTCTATGCAACACTTTGCCCTATGCACTCTGCACTGGGTTCCAGATAATGTTGACAATCTTCTCAGGGATTCCGTAGTGTCGAAGATGTTTCCATAATGTTCTCCTATCCACACTACCGAATGCTTTTTCATAGTCAAGGAATTTGATGTACAGTGACGAGTTCCATCCAATTAATTGTTTAACGATGATCCTTATTGTCGCGATTCAGTCTATGCATGATCGATCCTTACAGAATCCAGCCTAACTTCATTTGATGCTCATGTAAAAATGAATAATTATCAAAATATTTAATTCATTCATCATTACATTAACTTACGTATACATAATTTCAAGGGATTGTGAGAAATTTTTCTTATTGCTCAAATAATTTTCATATGATTCATGAACTATACTATCTGAACTATTGAAAGTATTTAATCCATAAGCAATACATTGAATTAATGTAAAAGTTATTTCGGCATTTCGACCAATATCTGCATCATATGCAGTAATTTTACCAATAGCCAATGCTAAATAAAATGAATAAATAATAAGTAAACAAAATGAAAAATACGAAGTATATCATTTAATATATACTAGCATGATACTTGACCATTGACATAATAAAATACATATGGAGAACATGGGATGTTGTTAGCTGTGGAGTCTAGGATATACATTTCGTCCCGTTTTTTGAGCTCTTTAGCTAAATGTACTTGCAATTTAGTATTTATATTCACTTTGAGATGCAAATCCAGATACTTTAGCTTCAAAAAATTACAAAAAAATAAGTTAAAATTCATAACCATTGAACAAATGAGTTGCTATCTGTACTCAATAGCTAAAGTGATAAGGTGTTGATGTTTGAAGCGAAAGACACTAAATTAGAATCTTTGATTGATTATCAACACTGGAATCCAAGAACATCCTGTTGGTACTACAAATTTCTTTAAGCTGGATAGTCATATTGTGAAGGTTTCAATATATACCAGGAGAACACTGAAGACCCTATTGGTTTCAGATAACATCACCTAACTTCTTTAATACTGTTTGTGGAGGTTTTCCTAATTTTTCTTTTTAACATTTTGAATGACAAGCATATCATAGGTACTCACATACATATGGGTTTATACAGATAACAGAATCATCAGAAGACACCTCTTGGCTGAATAACTCTCTACCGCATATATTTAAATTCAGACACATATATTTATTTATTTGAACACATAAACATTAGCACAAGGGGGGCACCAAATACATATGAACCGCACAATAACAATGAGGTCAGTAGCAGTTATAATTGATTTATGTGGGGGCTGTGATACTGCCCGAGTGCCCAAACCGAAGCAGGCGGTTTTCTTAGGGGGCCACATCCCGAGCCTTTGACCCGAAGGTCTAGTCCACAGATCCAGTCCCATATCAACCAGTGACCAACAATAGGTTCATACGCCATTTGTTCCCTCACGATTCTAATGCCCGTATGCACCACTGGTTTGGAATCAGGGTTTTCCAACTCCCATAGGTGGATGCTCTGTATCCATCGACCCGGTTAAAGCGCCGGACATTCACTTTTCGTCCTGTTAATTTCGTAAACAAGGCAGTGAGTAGCTCCTCCATGGCAGTTGTTGTATGCACATGGCCATGTGAGAGCATTTGGAGAGGGAGAGTGGAATCTCCCCACCCTCGGTCGTACCACAGCATTTGGGGGCACATCAGACGTAGATAGACATAAATAGACGCTCGTCATATTTTCTAATTCGACTTCAGGATTTTCTGTAATAATTCCGGTACTCATTTAGTTATTTATATTACGAATGGTATGAATACTTCTCTTTTCACGTCCATACAGATTTAAACTGATAAATAGATGCTGTTCAAATCTCATGCAGATATGAAGGCGCGAATCCGCAAACCAAGAGCAGCATGTCTACAATTGAAGAACATCTGGAACTCAAAACAGTTGGCAATCAACACCAAAGTCACAATTTTCAATACAAATGTCAACACAGTTCTACTATATGAGGCAGAAACATGGAGAACTACGAAAACCATCATCCAGAAAATACAAGTGTTTATTAACAGTTTTCTGCGTAAAATACTTTGGATCTGTTGACCAAATACCATTAGCACCAACCTACTATGGGAGAGAAAAAAGTGGATTCCAGAGCAGGAAGAAATCAGAAAGAAGCGCTGGAAGTGGATAGGACATACTGAGGAAAATACCCAACTGTGTCACAAGACAAGTCCTCACTTAGAATCCTCAAGGTCAAAAGAGAAGAGGAAGATCAACGAATACATTACTTTGAGAAATGGATACAGACATGAGAAGAATGAACAGCAATTGGATATTACTAGAAAGAAAGGCCCAGAACAGAGTGGGTTAGAGAATGCTGGTCGGCAACCTATGCTCGATTGGGTGTAACAGACTTAAGTAAGTAATGAATTTTACTGACATTGTACAAATATTATCAATTTAGTAATGCATACAGTAGAAATATAATGAAACAAAACTTACAAGCTGTATGATTCTCTAATATATAGAATTCTATTTTATTCAATATACTCGGTGGATTATCATTAACATCTTGAAGAATTATTGTTATATCAGCACTAGAATTTAAACTTGGCATTCCATTATCTGCAGCATGAATTTGAAAACGTAATTCATTAATCATTTCTCTATCTAATAATTTTTGTACTGTTAAATAACCGGTAGCTTTATTTACATCGAAATAATTTGCATTTTGTCCACTTAACCAAAATGTTAATTTAGCATTTTCACCTATCATTATCAAAGGGAAATAATAGAGTGAAACATTGTAGATAATTATTTGTTAATGCAGTTAATTTAGATTGTAATTAGAATATAGTAATATATTTATTCATATAAAAAAAGTGTAATCTGATTCGGGTTATTTGACAGAATACACATACTTTCTTTAAGTATAACAGTGTTCGACAACTGTACGTTCAGTCACATACAAACATGGAGAACTACGAAAGCCATCATCCAGAAGATACAGGTGTTTATTAACTGTTGTCTACGCAAAATACTTCAGATCCGTTGGCCGGACATTATTAGCAACAACCAACTCTGGGAAAGAACAAACCAGATACCAGCGGAGGAAGAAATCAGGAAGAGGCACTGGAAGTGGACAGGACACACATTGAGAAAAGCACCAAACTTTGTGACGAGGCAAGCCCCCACATGGAATCCTCAAGGCCAAAGGAAGAGGAGGAGGAGGAGGAGGAAGAAGAAGAAGAAGAGGAGAGGAAGACCAAAGAACACATTACGCCGAGAAATGGAGATAGACATGAGAAAAATGAACAAGAACTGGATGGAATTAGAAAAGAAGGCCCAGAACAGAGTGGGTTGGAGAATGCTGGTCGGCGGCTTTTGCTTCATTAGGAGTAACAGGCGTAAGTAAGTATGTAATTATATCATAAATAAGAAATAGTCATTGACGTTAATTTAATGACTGATTAGTAAGGCTTTCTTACTTTTACAACCTAAAATAAGTCTTCAATGTAATGATAATCGATACATTATAAGAAAATGTATCCATCAAGAATTTTACCACTTTCAATATTGCATAAATACAGTGCTGATTTGTGTTAGGAAGTATGAAACTTGATTTCACTAACACGAGACAATGATCATCACGATGTCAATAATGATGTGATTAACAGAAATTGAATAGAGCTACAAACTGGAAATAATGATTTTAGTTATTACAAAATTATCAGACAGTTCTTTAAAATCAGTATAGCTCTATTACAAGGTCTCTGAATGTAACATCATAAACGTGTAATATTAGAATTGAGTCCTAATGAAAACATCAGTTTCGTGAATATTGAAAAATGATTGCTGTAAGCTTTTTATTGTATAAAGCGGTTTTCTGTCATGTATCCTGCTAATTCTCTGTTTGATTAAAGAAAGATAAAATACTGTAGCAGTGTAGTGTCGGATATTATGTTAAGCCCATATAGCTTTCGGACAGCCCATCCTATTCATTCTACTTGAGTCACATTCTCACCTTGTTATTTATTCGCATATCAATCTTGACTGTTTTTATATGGGCGCGTAGGTGTGTGTACATTTCTTATCCCATTACTTATCGCATGTCTGTAACTTACTTTTGTGTAACTAGAAATATTGGTTAACGTTTGGCTAAATGGGAGTTGGCTTACCAGCCATCTCCACTGCGCCTCGTTTTGCTTCGTTCTATTCCATTCACTTTATATACAACGCGATTTAAGTCGATGATTATATACGAGGATAGGCGATAACAAACATTCATACGATCTAATTGGAGTCAGATCTCGGGCCACTAAAGTGGAGAGCCCTTTCGACAACATCGTCCGATCTAAATGACGATTAAATAACGGGCCTCCACAGCAGAATAACATGAATTAACTTATTTTATGGATTCTTCTCAGTTGCATACAACCTAAAATCATAGTGTTAATCATTAAAACAGAAATGGATACTTTATATCAGAAATGTCAGGAATGAACTGAGTTAAAATATGATAATAGAATAGCATTAATAGATCATAATGAGGAGAAATTGAAATTATTCAAATGTTTACTTATTTATAGGTTAAATACATGAATATTCTAGAAGAGTATGGAAACAAAAAATATATTTTCTCCTAGAAACAGAAGATAGATGATGTAATAAGTCTAGTTGAGTAAAGCTTAGAAGTAAGAAAGAAGATACTAGGATTTTGATTAAAGTATATGAAAAGATAAAAAACAAAGTCTTACGCAATAATTTCATAAAAATAAGGTCATCGGGGAACAAAAATTCGGTTTTAATTTTTTTATTGCAACAGCTTTGGCAAAGCGTTACAGTTTGGAATACATTTGTATGTTAATTACCTTAAAATATTTCACAACTTCAGCATCATGCACAATATCAAGTGAATGACAAGCAATTACACTATTGAAAACCTTCGGTCTGTTTGATCTCAACTATGTAGTATATGTTTGAAGATGCGGACACAAATCATTCTTTCTGTTCTTCTGACTTACGTGATTCGACATGTACGTGTCAACTGGTAAAACACAATCGGAGATAACAGAAGGCGGATATTCATCTGCATTTGACTGTCTCAATGAGCATTTAGTTTTGTATAGAGACACCAACTTGGTCTCTGGATACGTTCTTTTTAGTATTGTCTTCGCTCTAACTATTTCATTACATTTGAAGTCACGTCTTAGGAAGACAGGCTTTTTTCTCAACCATAAGAGTGCATTCACATGCACTCACTGTCCCTTAAAAAATTAATACGGAAGCTTTCGAATTTAACCTTCAGTGTCCAATCTCCATACGAATAAATCAGTGCCGCACATTCCATATTTTTAACCCCAAAGAAACTTCTGATATAACAATAAATATCTAATATATTTACTACACATGGTTTAACTCCCAATATGCATGACATAATGGTACAATCCATTACGGATACCATCTACATATTAAATGTTTATTTATTTTAAAAAATCCAGTCCTTAATAATTATTGATTCAGTAACATGAATAGTAATCGCTATGTCACATAAACTGACTACCATGACAAATGTTCATTGGTGGATCCCTGTATGAAGCTGCTGTTCTCTATGTTCCGTTTAAAAGTTCTGCATTCAATTCTGTACGAGATGCCGATTATGCAGTGATCAAAAACCTCAATCTAGGAAAAAATAACTGTCTACTTCCAATTGGATTTCAATGATTTTCCTGCCGATGGCTTCCAGTTTTTGATAAACTTCATCTTAAACAGTAAATTTTCCATCAAAGGAGAAGAGGATGACAGATTGATTATTGTTTGTTGTATGAAAAATGGAATTGATAAAATGAAACTGAAATTTAGTCGGTAGGTTTTTATCTTTCTAAATAATCACTTAATCGTAACCAGGACACCAATAATTAACCTAAACTTTTGAACCTTAACATATCCACCGGCTGTTAATGACAACATGAATACATTTCAGTAAACAAATTACTTTTACAATTACAATAACAAAGTATACACATTTATGTATTACTGAATATTAAATTTTATGATATAAATACATTAAACGTAAGAAATAATATTTTTTGTAAGCAATGATGAATAGTGGCTAGCAGCGGAATCCAGGACGCGCGTTTCGTCCTATTTGGGACAAGCCAAACAATACCAAGTGAATTTAGATTCACTACATTGCACAAGCAAGTGGCTATCAGGACTCAGTAGCTGAGTGGATAACGTGATGGTGTTTGAAGCGGATGATACTGGGTTCGAGTCCCAGAGTGAACATCAAACGTGAAATGCAGGTACATCCAGCTGACGAGTCCTGAATAGGACGAAATGCACGTCCTGGGTTTTACTGCTAGCCACTATCGATCATTACTTACAAAAAGGCAATATCGAGGCATACGCACAGTATGCACATAAGCCAATAAGAGTCTGATCAACTGCAGTCTTAAACCTTAATGGGAAGATACAAACCAAACAATACCAAGTAAATAAGAAATAATATTCATAATTTCTTTAATAATTTACCTTCATCAGGATCTGTTGCATTGATTTTGTTTATTATTGTTCCTATTTCAGTATTTTCATTAATATTAAAGTAATAATGTGTTTGACTAAATATTGGGGGTTCATCATTTACATCGGAAATTCTAACAGCTACTGATCCTGTACTATTTCTTGGTGGAACACCATAATCTGAACATGTTATCCAAACTGTAATTTTTGAAATGAATTCACGATCAAAACTGGAAGCAGTTGTTAGTTTATATCTATAAAATAATTCAATATTCAAAGTGTTAATTGATAGCCACAGTTTTCGATGGAGTTTTGTTTCTTCTATCCTAAGTTTGTGTTTATGATATTGTTCAGAAGAACGATGAAAGATCTATGACCTAACCATTGAGTTCAGAGAACAAAACTCCATTTAAATAATCTTCCTGAGCTACAAATCTTCCCCATCATCTCAAAATCAGATAACCACAATATTTTTACATATTTACTCTACTGGAATAAATAACAACGTAATACAATGATGGTTTTTATCAAAGACTAATCTTAGACAACTATTAAAAACCAAAAAGCACTGAACTACTTCTTCATCCTAGTAAGAAACTCATTGACTGTGTACATTTTTATTCGTCTTACTGTTTTTTTATTAAAACATTTAATTGATCACAATTGATTGATCACTGGGTGGTGATCAATGTCATGTGTGTCAAATCCTTCTTAATGCAGGTCGAAAACTATCGACCAAGTTGAAATGTGGCCACTAGTCTAAGTGACTCAACATTGCGTGAGCTATGTTGAGATAAGATGGTGGTTGGAGATAGTCAGCAGGAAACCCTGGACCCGGGTTTCGTGCTACTTAGCACTCGTCAACAAGGTGTACCTGTGATCTTGAGGGAACTGGTGCCCCCTAACGGATTCGACCCCGTGTCACCCAGCTTTAAAGTCAGAGACCTTGCCAATGAAACTTGGTCGATAGCAATTGATCTTCACTAAGAACAGCTTGACATACATGACTTTGATCACCCTCCCCCGTAATAAATCGGTTGTGACTACATCTCAATCCTACAGGAGGTCGTTCGCGGCCCGAATAGCCCAGTGGTAACGTCTCTGATTGTGAAGGTGCGTGACACGGGATCGAATCCGTCAGGGAGCACCAGTTTCCTCAAGATTACAGGTAAACCTTGTTGATAAGTGCAAAGTAGCACGAAACCCGGGTCTAGGGTTTCCTGTTTACTAGCTTCAACCACCATCTTATCACATTTCATTATTGAATAATTATAAACTCGAAATCTTATAAACAAATCTACTTACATAATTGAAAAAGGCATATGCATTTGTTGTAAACTGAATAAAATTTCAGTTGGATTTAATAATAAACTTTCTAATTTTTCTTTATTTTGTGTATCAAATGTCCATTTTCTTGTTTCTGCTAAACGACAACTTACACGACCATTATCTCCACTATCTTTATCTTGTGCAGTAAATACAGCAACTAATCGACCAGGTTTTTCATTTTCTGGAACTAATGCATAATTTGTTAAATGAGCTGGTTCAAAATGTAATTCAGGTGAATGATCATTTTCATCTAATACTGTTATTTCTACAATACAAGTTGTACTTCTTGGTAGACTACCTCCATCATTAGCTTCAATAGTTAATATTATCTATGAGAAGATAAAATAAATTACCCATATTTCAATTATTATTGTTTGTTCCATACTGTATATTCTGTATGTAAAATCAATATTTTTCAGTTCAGTTAAACTCTACCGTTTTTTTATATGGAAACTATAAATAGTTGAATGATCACACTTTATGATATATTCTTTATTGATTGTTAATCGTTCAATGTTATTTATTATTCACTTTTCATTTAACATGATTGAACTTTACTGGTTGTGACTTTTTACTGGAACCCTAGTGACCCGTTGACCTAACTCTGATTTGATTTTATGATGTTAATGAACTATACATGCCGGCTACTCTTGTACCAAATCCTTGATTTGATTCGCGTTAGAGCATAACAATATAAAATAAGTCAAATCTCATACACTCGTTACATCAGACAAACAATTCGATAAAAAATAACTGAGTAGCCGATCGCAGAAGATAATTCCAACTCTATTTGACAAAGCGTAACTCATCATTTATAGCTACACAAAAATAAGACACGTGATGAAAACAGATTAAGCGATACATACACATTATAAGCGAATAATTGACAAGATCGAAATGTAACTCAAGACCAATAAACTTATTGGTCTGTCCGAAAGCTAGAATAAGCCATGCAGGCTTGACATAGTACTAGACATTACAGAACCTTCAAGAGTTTGTACGAAACTAATTCTCATTTAGTACATGACTATTACTAAGACAGAAAAAGATTTTGGAGACTTTTCAATGTGTGAATGGTATTATTTATTGGCCTTAATAAATTCATAATAATGTGAATAGATTTCAACTTAATAACAACAATAAATTACCATAACCTTTTTTAAATTTCAATATAAAAGTGTTATAGTCAACAAAATCGAATCACTGGACGGCCGTTTCCTATTAATGCAGAACGTCTCAGCAGTGCACATTCACGATTTCGCCTCGCGAGATTCGAACCCAGGATCTATCTGGCGTGAACGCTTAACCTCTCGACCACTGAGCCAGTATCCAACTGCTGAGGAGTCCCATGCTAGAACTAAACGGCCGTCCACTGCTTCCAAGTTTTCCATGGTGGTCTAGCTTCAATTGACTCATGAATTCAACTATTAACGTGCTATAACATTCACAAAAAACCCCTCTCTGATTAAAATCGAATTAGATGAATAATTTTATCGAGAAAGGTGAGAATTATCACCGTCAAATCATCACATGTCAAATCCATTTACATTAAATGATACACTTATTAAATTGTTACATAATTTTCTATAAGTGATTATTATTATTATTTTCTTAATTTATCCTAAGAAATGAATAACAGAATGAATATGATGATTTTTATTTTACTGATTAATGTGCTTTTAAAAATTGTACAATAAACTGAAGTTTTATAAAAAGCGGTTTGTGGAGATTTTAGAAATTTCACTGGTTGGAATCATGATTCAATTGAAGCTAGACCACCATGGAAAACCTGGAAGCACTGGACGGCCGTTTTGTCCTAGCAACGGACTTCTCAACAGTGCGCAAACACGAGCCCGCACCACGCGGGATTCGAACCCAGGACCTACTGGTTTCGCGCGCGAGCACTTAACCACTAGACCACTGAGCCGGCATCCAGTGGTCTTAATGTCTAACTTCGACCAATCCACGAAGTCGCGCCACCGTACAACATTGTCATCAGTGAGTTGATATCTCACAACAGACCTAGTTGCACCTGGTTGCGGTCCAATGCTTCCAGGTTTTCCATGGTAGTCTAGCTTCAATTGACTCATGATTTCAACCAGTGAAACCGAAGTTTTTCTTCTTTTTTTTAAAAAAACAAAAAAAGAAGAAAACAAACAAATGAAAGGAAAACAAGGTGAGATTATAATTTATGAACGACGTTTAAGCGACGTTAGACTGACCTTAAGAGTGTCTACCTGATAATAACTAGGAACAAATAATAAAATAATAAAATAAAACATTGCTGAGATGGTGGAGAAGATTTGTAGCTCAGGTGGATGATTTTGATGGAGATTTGTTCTCTGAGCTGGATGGTTTGGTTGTGGAGCTTTAATCGTTCTTCCGAACGACAACATCAGAACAAACTTCAGATAGAAGAAGGATAAAAGCTTTACGACTAAGCCATTCAGCCCAGAGAAAAAACTCCATTAAAAACATTCCGTAATAAAAAAAACATAAATTGTAGAATGTTTATCAGCAAAGACAGATAGTGGCTAGCAGTGTAATCCAGGACGTGCGTTTCGCCGTAAATGAGACTCGTCAGCTCGATGTACCTGCATCTCAGATTTGATGTTCACTCTGGGATTTGAATCGAGTACCGTTCGCTTCAAACACCATCGAGTTATCCACTCAGCTACTGAGTCCTGATAGCCCCAGAGTGAACATCAAACCTGAGATGAATGTATATCCAGCTGACGAGTCCGGACGAAATGCACGTCTTGGATTTCACCGCTATTCACTATCCATCATTGCTTATAAAACTTGTGACTAAGGCAATATCGAGGCAGTACGCACAGTATGCACATATGCCAATAAGAGGCTGATCAATTGCAGTCCTAAACATCAATGAGAAGATTCAAGTAAAACAATACCAAGTGAATTGTAGAATGTTTGTTATAAAATTTTCTAAGAGAATATATCATCATTGTGTATCCTAGATACAAAATGCAATAGAAAAGCTTAATGTGATAATGAGAAATGGGTAAATTTATAACGATAACAAATGTTATTAATTCTAATGTTAAGTATTGTCTAGACAGTTATAGAATGTAATATTATTTAGAATAATTAGAAGTTATAGAGGAAAATCTAATATGAAAAGATAAACGTATTTGCTTCAATAAATGAACTTTGACAAATGGATAATTAAATGTTACAATTAAGAATATTTATACAATAATAATTATAATAATAAGTATTTCTAAGAGAATATATGTATTTGAAGTGATAGCAAAAACAAAAAAGCGGGAAAACTATTCAACTAGTTGCACTGATTTATACGACAGATTTGATACTAGGGCGACTAAGTTTAATTGCATTTTGTATTGTTTGTTTGTATCTTCTTAATAATGTTTAGGATTGCAATTGATCAGTCTCTTATTGGTATATGTGTATATTGTTTTAAGTCATAAGCATTATAAGCAATCCGCTAAGGATACACATATGTTAAATAAAGATCGATCAATTACAGTTGCAAACAACGACAAAATGAATTCACACTTTACCCCATTGCACAAGATAGTGGCTTATTAGACCTAGAAGGTAATTGGATTAAGCGATAGCGATTGAAGCGAACGGTACTGAATTCAAAACCTAGATTGAAGATCAACTCTGGGATGCAAGTACATCCAGCTGACGAGTCCGGAATTGGACGAAACGCGTATCTTGGATTTCATTACTAGTCGCCATCCATCTTTGCTTAATTTAATTTAGTTTCGTCCATATATTGACTATTTGAATTTCCTTTCAGTTTTAAACATCATTGAATGACAAATAAGAAATGATACTGTTCAATACATAAAATTTTGATTTTCAATTACTACATGTCACTGATTCCTTTACTTATATTATGGTTGAACAAATGATAATTACCCTTAAATATGAAAAAGCATTGTGCGTTCTCTACTTTTCAAACAAACTAATCAGATTGTAAGCAGTTGAATAAACCTGACGCAACACATTAATTTATAGTTTTATGCCACTAATGCAACTCTTATTTCATTGAGGTGTGTAAAGAAACATTGTGCGAAAAAAAATCAATATTTGCATGGAATTATTTTTGTTTCTCAAATTCAACATTCATGTGCTACTAGGTAAGTTGTTGTAAATTGAATAGCCTTAATAATAATGGAAAAGTTAAACGTAAGGCAATTTATAACCCATGCAACTGGATGAATGTTGTGCGAATAGCGTGACTTGAAGGAATTATGGATTTACAATCCTAGGAAATCATTTTCTAGTTTATAATATTTTCAATAGTTGAGATCATGAGTCATTTGAAGATAGATCAACATGAAAAACCCGGAAAAACTAGACGGTGGTTTTGTCCTATTGCTGGACTCCTCATCAGTGCTCATCCACGGATCCCGCCTCACGAGATTACAATTCAGGACTTATTAGTCTCGAGCGCGAATCCTTTAACTTCTAGACTACTGAACCGGCATACAGTGGTTTGAATGTCTAACTTCAACGAATACACGAAATTGAGCGATACATCCACACCATTGTCTTCAGTGAGTTACTATCTCACAACAAACCCAGTTGAACTCTTATTGTCACTGCTTCTTAACTGAGCTACAAGAAATATCTCTATAGTATTTGTTTAACAACAGGTTAATTCCAAAGTTTCCGTTTTATTTGTTACACCTACATGAAAGTCTGACTGTCTATCCATATATATATACCTAGATGCATTTTATGTTTGTTTAATTAAATGAAATATTCAGAGTAAAATAAAAATAAAATTCCAGTAATCTAATTATAGGAAAGTAATACGTCATGGAATCATACCAACCACTAATTCCAATGACAATGAGCACATGTTAAAAAAAGCCACCCAGCAACTATATATTATATAGAAATATAACTTTTCTAAACATTGACGTTTTTTTTAAATTACTGATACCATATGACGACTAAATTTAAACAATCTTGATATAAGATAATCATTTGAATTGAATTTGTAGCGAGACTCTAATTTATGGACGACCTATGAACGAACCTCAAGCGACCCTGAGAAATATTAGCCAATCAGCAAACAGTCAGTATAGAATAAAAATGTATTATATAGAACCAAAGAAATAAAGTGGATACACTTCTTATACGTGGTTCAAAAACTTGTCAAGGTTAGGAAGAGATTCAGAGGTTCTAAAATAGTAATGCATGCGATAGAGAAAATCATCCATACGGCTACAGAATAGTCGGAGATATGATAAAGTCTCAAATACTTTTTCAGCCGTGACCACATAGCTTCAATATTGCTTGTGTGCACTCCGGTTGTCGATTGCAC